TCATGTCCTAGTGAATTTCTTGCTTAACAATGAACTAGCCAAATAGCTAAATAAAAGACTTCTGCACCTGCAGGAGAGACTGCTGCTGAGAAAAGCTGTTTTAATTGAAATGACACTCACGGTCAGTTTTGCCAGATATGACTGGTACAGCTCTCTCTGTATTCTCTGTTGACACCTCGCACAGTTAATGCAGCATCTTTCCCTCTGGCTTCAGCAAATTTAGCCTTGCCCTTCTCAGATGTGCTGGGAATGCTCTTACTGTTCTAGGTGAATGGTTCTGTTGTTCCCCCTAGCCTGTCCCTCTCACCAAGAGGGTCCTCATTCTATATCTCCAGTTGCTCCAAAATTTTCTGAAGGATCTTATTTATGCTTAACTTTTTTCTGCCAAGGTCCTTCAGGGACTACTTCAATCCCATGCACCACACAGAACTGAAAAGGCTTTTATCTCTAAGCAGACCATGATATCAGCATTTCTTGCCTTCTGCCTACTATCTGCAGACAACCACTTTCACACATTCACCCAGGCTACTGCTCTTAGGAGACATGCCCCAAGCATATGTGCAACTCCTTCTTGTTGATCTCTTTCACAGTGTCTTCCTTTGATGGCTTTTTAGTCTCAGTGTCCTCAGAAACACTGAACACAGCCAGGTCACTCCTTCATTACTTCCTTATATACTACCTCTATCATAAATGTTGCTCAGCTTTATAAAATATATTACGTTCCTAATTCAAGCCAAATTTGTACAATGATTTGCTAGTCCACAGGTCCAGTACTATGATTGCAAAGCAATGGCCTTAGGCATGCAAGTAAAAATATAAATATTACACAACTAATTACATAAAATAATGCTAAACAGTTAGCATTAGATGCACAGCACCACACAAAACATCCTTTTTGCCCATAATCCTTCATCTGGGAGTGGTCTTGTATCAATGACTGGGAAGAATGAAAGCAGGACAAACTTATATATTACTATCCCTGCTTCTAACTGGTTTCATCATAAGGACACCCTGAATCAGAGAATAGCTTTGGTATTTCCAGTAACTATCCATGATGTCTCCTCTGCATGGGGCCAGTGTCCCCTCAAATGCAAGGATGTGTCAAAGGTTTAGCATCTGCAGCCTTCTTTGCAACGAGTTCCTTGGGTCTGCCAGCCTTCAGTGTGAAGAGCTGCCTCCTGTATTTAGGTGGAAACCTCCTATCAGCTTCATAGATCTGTAGATCTTGTAGGGGAGGAGACAACAAAAAGCCAACCCTGACCACTCTTCCACACCACACAGGATTTTGAAGAATTCTGCAGTTTTCCCCTTTAGGCTCTCTTTGAGCCAGATGACAGGAATTTCTGACAGCTGAAGACAGCCAGCTCAATAGTTCTTCATCCAGAAGCTGTTTGAGGCCTTTGGTGATCCTTGTTGCCCCTCTCTGACACTTTCCAGTTCTGATAAATGGTTCTGACCAGAACTGCAGAGAGTACTGAAGAGGACAGCAAACCACAGATTTAGGTTCTGTTGTTGGCTTTCTGTTCACTTCCTAATAATTTCTAGTATTTGATTTGCTTTCTGATCACTGAACAATAAGCTAGTGCTTTCATGGAACTACCACTTATAACCCCAAGATCTTGCTCCTAAAGGTCTTAAAAAAAAGGAAACTATTTTTCTTTCAGATTTGAAGTCCCACAAAAGCCTCAGGAATGTGTCTTATTTTGACATTGTTATACTAAGAACGTGATTTATTATTATTATAATTTAAAAAGAGCATGGAATTAAAAATGGAATGAAAAAGCTTAAATCTTTTTATGGAGGACAAATCTAGGAAGACCAGCCACTGTTTTTATCTGTCTCCTACACCTTTGTGCTTCAACAGGAATATCTGTTCAAGTGGCATGTGCATTATTTTAGAGAAAACATGAGCAGGGCTTCACAGTTCTTAATGAAGTTAATTTCTGAACTATGTTTATACACAGCCTTAATTTACTTTTCTTGGAATGTAGAATAACTGTTTTACATCTAGCAAGGTTTAGCTTCACTAAGTTTCCTTAATAAAACACAGTTTTGTGAAGATAACCCCCCCACGTTAAAATGTCTGTATTAACTTATTCTGAGAGCAAACTGCCTCCAACAACATTCTGATATGACAACATTTTATACCCACCCCACAGTCTACACAGTTGCAAGAGGAGGACTTCAGGCAGAAGACCACAAAGGACAGTTTTGCCATCAAGTATTCTTTCAAACATTGCTCACATTCATTTTTTTTGTTTCTTCTTTGCTTTCCCCTCTGAAATTTTCTCAAAGTAGTGGAATAATCTTTCTCAAAAAGATCACTCCACTGCTAGAGGGAGACCTTGGTAAAACCCTGAACATGGCACACACTTACGTGCCCATTAACAGAACAGTACATTTAAAGTCAATTACCTTGAAATTATAAATATATTCAAGTGCTGTCTTGGGTTAGGACCCCACAGGCAATTTATAGCCTTGACTCCTACAGCTCACTTCATTTTTACTTCAAGCCATTTTAGCTCAGTGACACAATAACAAAAAAAGTTTTGAAATACTATCTGCCCAAGAGAAAACATTATTCTGTTCTATTTTTCTAAGATGAATATAGCAATTTATAATTAAAAAACACAAGTCTTTTCATATAGACCCTTCCCTAACTCTCTCTTGAAAGGATATGGGTATATCTAACTTGGATAGTATTTTTCAAACCTGATCAACAGAACCAAAAAAGAGCTGAAGCAGAGGGGTAAGGAAAGAGGTAAAAGGGAAATAAAAGGGGAGTATCCACAATACTAATAAGCAACTAATTCCTTTAGGTAGTTTCAGTACTTACAGGGGCCTCTAAGAAAGATGGAGATAATCTTTTTAGGAGAGCCTGTTGTGACAGGACAATGGGTGGTGGTTTTAAACTAAAAGAGGGAAGATTTAGACTGGAGATAAGCAAGGAATTTTTTACAATCAGGGTGGTGAAACACCAGAACAGGTTGCCCAGAGAGGTGGTAGATGCCCCATTCCCAGAAATGTTCATGGTCAGATTGGATGGGGCTCTGAACAACCTGATCTAGTTGAAGATGTCCCTGCCCACTGAAGGGGGATTGGACTGGATGATCTTTAATGTCCCTTCCAACCCAAACCATTCTATGACTCTATACACTTGTTGGCAGTAGACAGGCTCTAACAGAGCCAGGGCCAGTGAAGTAACCACTGCTCAGAATTGTTCTGAGGAGCAACCTCTCCCCACTGACTTCAGAAGCACAGGCTCTGTTAGCTGCTATGACTGCTCATTTGCACCATCTAAGCTGGATCTTAACACCCTGATTTCCTGTTTTATTAAGCTCTGATCCCCAAGCAGCTCCCTGGAATTCACTCTCTAAAGGATGGATAGTGACAAGACTTGTACCATTTTGTTTATTTGTAGTAGCCCTTTCTTGCATTGGGAGTAGTCTGAATGAAGTTCACAGGACTATTTGTTGTGAAAGCTGTTAGAATGAATCTAAAACTTTGTGCAATCTGTCAAGATAACTTTGAGTACTGCACAGGTGTTCAGATGAAGAGAAGATCCTGGAAATCTGTATACACTAGCTCTCAAAACAGACTAGATTAAGTTAACTATTAAGATTTTTAATATTTGAAGAAAGAACTATTTTCATAAGGTTTCTTTTTGAGAGTAAGTCAAAGTTATGCAAGTCTTCCAAAATTCCACAAAAGAACGAGGAACATCAGGAATATTCTTTGACATCCTGAAAACAATTTGAGATGTTCTCAGATAAAATAGAATCCAAGAGAAAAAGACAACGAGAAATGTTCCTTCAATACCTTAGATGACTAGTAATGGTGACCAATTTCAAGCAAACAATTCAGGTTAAACAATATATTGCAGTCACCAGATGGGTCACCTACAAAAGGAAAGTAGGGTCAATCTGTAAACCCCCCCGAGTAGTGTCACTGATCTATTTATTATTGGCAAATCAAACTATGATGACAAGATAAGAAGCAGATGACAAGGTTTGCATTACTTTTTGTCTGGAACTAAGACTTTAAATAAAAAAACCAAATTAAATACAACTTTTTTTTTCCATAAGATTTCTGGAGGAAAGGAGTTTACTTTGTGTGATAGAAATGAAACATTTTTCATGTTGCTGGATAATAAAAGATTTCTCATGCTGGGAAGTTGGGAAGTTAACCTGATTTTTTTTTTTTCCTCTTTTCACAGCTCCAAAGAAAGGTAGAGCCTGAAGAGAACCATACCCTTGCATTTCTATGGCTAGAAATTGTTATTTTTTTTCTGAAATGTAGGCTATTTGCACCATTAGGAATGCAAGGCTTTGTGTAAAAACATACCATGGTAAAAACTCTATAGACAAATATTTTTAGAAATGCATTACACATTTTTACAATGTATTTTACAAATACACAGTTGTAAAAATATGCAATATACATGCAACCTACAAACAAAAAAAAGCAAACAAATCAAAGAACATGTAAACCAAAACAGTCAGGTGGAGCCTTTCTGAGTTTATTACTTAGAGGTACACTAGAAACTTCTATGTTGTGCCTGTTAACGTTTCATAAATCATTACAATATATTCTTAGAACATGGGAATAAAACAGTTATGTAAAAGCTCAGTTTACTAACCAGAACACTCAGTATGTGGTAATTGATATAAATCTGTGATGCAATTACATTTACCTTAGAACGATTCTTGAAGTCTCAATGTTTATTTTAATTCTTAAAAAAAAAAAAAAGCCTGTTACTTCCATCACTGAAAATTCCAGGCCACTGTATAACACATTTGGTTTTGCTTCCCCAAAATGGAGTAACATTTTTCCTTCAAGAAAAAATCCTTATGTGATAGTGAATAAAGCAGCATCACTTTTAGTAGTGAAACAACCAATTATTGATGTGACTAAAATTCTCTAAGGAACCCATTCCTTCAAGATATAAGTGAGAAAAAGCACATAGAGAAACCTTGGTGGCCATCGAGCTGTTTACTCACCCATTTCCTGTCTGGTACTGCAGATTCCTGTCCCATATTTTTGTAACTCTATGGTCACAGTTTTCAATGCATTAACATCCGTTTCTGCAAAGCCGAGGTAGTTATAAGAACCCATATTGATTACATTCTTGATAGTCCTTCCTGTAAACCTATAATTAGAGCAAATTTTAAAGAATAGTGCAACTTACCCTCTAACTCCAAACAAAAAAAAGAAAAAAACCCAAAATTTTCCCATTGAATTTTGTTCCACTGTCAAATTCCTGTTCGTGAATTTTTTATCTTCATACTTTAACATCCTAAAAGTTTTTCCAGCCTATTTTCCTGACTATATACTGCATCCTGCTCAGAATGTCTTCCAGATTCCAAGCTGTAGATGGCAATATAGTGGTAATAGGTGAAACGGTGCCTTTATGGATGTAAATAAAGCAAGCAAGCTAGGCTTTTATAGAGAGATCGACTTACAAACACCACTTTGCCTGGAAAACTGTCAACAGCCTCCAGAATGTCATGAGTATTCAAACACACAGAGAGAAATTAAACAGGAGGAAAATGGTGTGAGAAACACCATGATACATTCTCAATAAGCTGAATTACAGTCAACCTGCACATTGCCTATGTGGTGAATTTCTATCTCTGCTTAATTCTCCAACAGTTGCGATACACTGAAATCTTTGAGCTGTGAACTGCTTAAAGCTCACTACCAAAGACTCACTATGTAAGTAAGAAGCCACATTTATGCAATGCAAGAAATTATGATTTAAATCTTAACGAAGGGATACAACAATTTTCATTGCAATATTCTGACTAAAGGTTTGTTAGAAATGAAATGTAAGGAGTCACGTGCTGACATGGCTGAAGAAACCCCACTTGTGATAGAGTTCAGTCCATTCCATACTGCATTTCCAAACAACGTTCAGAAGTAAGGGGACAGATTCTCAGCATGGTACTAATTTCAGAAAAAGAAAAAAAAATGCTGATGTTTATTAGTCAAGGATATTTGGGAATTTATATTTGGCTGTGGGGGGCTCGATGTAACTTGCTGCACTTTGCAGATGTATCAGGAGCGTTCTTATGAAGCCGACAGCTGTGGAGTGTGAGCTGACTCACCTAAATGTCCAGTTGTAATCATCTGTGACACGTTCCATGAGGTCAAACTGCGGCCCCGGGACACTGCAAATTGGACGATTCCAGTTATCCCGTATTCTCAGATAGAGGTTTCGGGTGTAAAAGTTCTCAAAATCTTGATAAAGTGGCACAAAATCCTGGTTTGAAAACATGCACAGGGTTATGTTGCTAGGAAAATGTGTCTGTACCCAAGTCATCCCCATTAAAAAGGAGAAACTGATTTATTAGTAAATGAAGAGTTATAATAGCCACAAGTTCCTATGTCACAAACAACTCCAAATCAGCAAATATCTTACTTTAATGCCCTTAAAATACAGTGTTGGCTTTTTTAGGGGGTTTTCTTTCTTTTTTTTTTCTTTTCCAAATGGTCAACAAGTTGGTCTAATTCGCCTGCCCAGTATTTGGAAAGTTGGAAACTGAAAACTCATGATTCCTCCACTTAGAGAAACCAAATGCTTCAATTTGTGGAGCAGATTGCAAAACTAGGATAAACAAGTCATTATGTTTCCTGAAATGCTGGATACATGAGACTAAAGCCAGTCCAATGTAATTGATCTGGGCATTATTGGCCTAGACTGGACATGCAAACAGCCAGTTACAACAGCTAGTTTGGTTGATGATTAATTTTTATCTATGGATTTTACTTTGAAATTAAATTAAAAGAAAGGTATGGAACCTAAACAAGGTTTTATACGAAACAGCAATATAGTCATATTAGACACTGGATACAATAAATTAGTAAATTAACATGTTGTGTGGTTACATAAGTGGGAGACTGGAGAATTAAATGGACACACGTAATCCATGGTGGATGAGAAAAGGATTTAATTGGTATACCCGGGATCAAAATAGCTCAATAAATGGCCAGATTCTGAAGTGAGTTGAAAAGGATATTCCATGAGAATGCTGATAAAAAGAGACTGCACCGTGACATTTCATTAAGTAGTGCATGCATCCTTGAGAAGCCAAAACAGGAAATTATTTCGGGAATTTCTTTTGTAAAAGAAACAATAACATTATTCACATTTTTTCTCCAGTTGCCAAGTGATGTTGTAAATGATGGCTCAAACTACACAGAGAAGGAGGAGCCACAAAAAACCCAAAACAAAGTTAGAAGGCAATCGGGCTTGCTGAGGTGCAAGTTTCACTTAGAACTATGGGTGATGAAAAATTTTCTAAGTCAGGAATAGCAAGAATTGAGGCTATATTCACTTTTAGCTGAGACAATGATTCCTGAGTGCTCTGTGATCAGCAGTTCAGCAAACACAGGTCCATAATTACAAAGATGTCAGCACTGCCTATCACTGTGAATGATAAATTATGACAGCAAGATGGGACAAAGAAAAATTTGGGTTTAAGAGCTTGGAGAGATATATTTGACAATAAGGCATTTCTGAGTTTTCTTTTTCTGTGGATTGACCTAATACACTGAGATTCTACTTTGTTTAGGGTATTCTGATACTCAGGACAAGCTGAATATCTCTCTGGGTAAAAATTGTTATTTTAAATATGAATATAGGTACATATTCATACACGTGTTTAATTATACTACAGTGTATGCCATTCCTCTCATCCCTATGCAGTGTTCTCCTCCAAGATGAAAGCCTTCTTACTTTGGGTATGTTATTGCACATAACTTGCAAGCAGGGGAAAACTCAGCTATGGATATGTAATGTCTTTTTCATACATACTTTTTGTTCTTCTCTCTCTGCAGCAATGTTACGTTTTTCTAGTCCCCAGGCTCTCATAAAATCTCGCAGGTAGCCAAATATTGTTCCCACTCCAAAACCCAGGAAAGTAAGAACAGCAACATACATTGGTGCCTGTTCAAAGTGCTCAATAAATGTTTTTTTGTAGAGAGTTCCATTTGATACGCCATTCTTCTGAAAATACAGAACAGAAGCTTGTGATTAATACATTTCAACTTATCCCAGTGCAAACCTTAGGCCTTGGGGCAAATCTGTTTCTCTAACACACCACAAATTAGGAGACACATTTAGACCTTCACACTGTATCATCTAATGCTACTATACCTGAAGAGGGGGACCTATAACACTGACCACTAAAAGTGTCTTCCATTTTTCTCCCCTCTCCACCAAAGTCCTCAGCTGCAGATCTCTTTGACACCACTCCCTTGTCTATTTTGAAACACGTGAAACTTATGAAAGATTGGCAATATATTATTGTGTAATTGGACAATTATTTCAAAAGTGATTAAATGGAAACCACAATACTCTGTTCTTGCAAGACAGAGCTATAGAAAGGGAAGGGCAGAATTAAAAACTCACACCGCACCTGATTCTGCTTCTGGAAGTCTTGTGTAACCCATTGCAGCAACTAACCTATATACAACAAATCCTGTCTAAAATAGGGCACCTTGATCATGATGTTCTTCAGATCTGAGGAAGAACTGAAAAGAGCTATGATCCCAGCTTTCTGTTTCTGTACTGATTTTGCAAATGCTTTTAACCATATTTTCAGTTACTTCATCGATATTTGTACAGATAGTTAAGAAAAAAAATACCAAACAAAAACCCCAAACAAGAACAGTAGAGACACACAGACCCCCTCGTTGTTGGAATTAGTGACCCGATTGTAAGCAACTTCTAGAAATTTACAACCACGTGTGGACAAAATACTGTGTCTTCAAAATATTCTAAAACTTCAGTTTTCCAATTAAAGTAGCTAAGTTTTTCATCTGCAATCTTCTCAGACCAACTTATTCAGTAAGCTTATCAGATTATTCTTTGGAAGAGAATTAATTCCCTTATTTCTGCAAAATATGATGGCATTTAAAATTACTGCCTAGTAACAGGCAACCTGCCAATTCAAAACCAAAATGTAATCCAGAAAATTAATGTCCTCAGTTAAAAAGAAAAAAAAAGTCAAAGAACAAATGACAAATATTTGAGCATATTATAAAGCAAGACAATCAACATATGAAGAAATGCCATTAATACAATGCTGCCTGTGGGATGGATGAATTAAAAAAGTAGGTTATCCATCCATGTAATACAGCAAGCTGTGACAGCAGAGTCATATTTAGAAAACTGCAAATTGACTGTGCTTGTCAGACAGAGTATTGATCTTTGTAAAAGTTTTCTTAGGAGAGAGGAAAAAAAAAAAAAAAGGTGTGGGGCAGAATATAGGTAGAATATAAAGATTATGAAGAAAACCCAAAAAGGAAAAAAAGAAAAAAAGGCTGGTAGGGCTGACGAGAAAGACATTTAGAGTTTGGGAAGACTTGTTGCCCTGTAAGGGAGAAGGAATGCAGGGCTGGTTCTTACCGTGTGAGGGTAGACCTTTGAAGCAGTGCTACACATGCACTCCTAGCTTAGGCTAATTACTCTTTTAGTCTTTTAGGACAACCTATTTATCATGAAAAACATTTTATGAGAGTGAGTTAAATACATAGCTGTCATATTTCAAAGGAGCTACAACAGCTGTGTGCACACAGCAACAAGATAAAGTATTTCATCAAGGCTTAAGCTCAGTCCTATTGCTCTACATTTGCCATGAGCATACTTAAGGTCACGGATGGCAATTCAGTCAATGTTGTAGCTTGTCAAGCTGGGATCATGTGATAATGCACCTGAGCCCAAAGGAGAGAATTAGCGTGATGATTCTGTTTATCAATTTTATTAAGAAACACTTTTTTATTGTCTATCTTACTGGTGAAGGACCAGGGAAACTCATATCAGACTCCCCCAGTGCAAAACTTTTTCCACAATAAGACTCACCTCTTGTAGAACTCACATTTAAGCTGCTGCTGCTGCTTTATGTAGTCAGTATGACATATATATTCAAACATGTAACCACCATCACCTACTACTCTTAATACAAGCAGGTAGTAGTAAACAGTGTCAATGGTAGTGAAGTACTAAGAATGTGGAGTTAGTCTATGATCCGTATTCTCCAGTCTATTGAAGTATCTTGAAAACTAAGAGTCTTCAAACAGCCTAAGGTTAGTACAGGGCTGTGAGAACAAATTAAAACAACAACAACACAACAACAAAAAATCCCAAACAACCAAACAAAACCACCACCACCACCAAACAACAACAACCACCACAAAATCAAACCAACGGTGTCATCATGTCTAAAAACTAAAGTGAGGAAAAAAAGCACATCATCTATCTCTAGAGTCCCACAAAAAAACCCCAGAGGAAGTCTCAGGATTGGAATAACCAAAGCAAGTGGATTTACTGCTTCTGGAGAGCAGTAATGTGGCTGCTTTTGTGCTACACTTCCAAGTCAAGCATTGGGGTACAGGTGACTGACTGAACATCATGAGGAAGTTCAATACTTTCAGCCAACCTGAACGGTCAGTGGATGAATGCTTAACTACCATTTTGCATTACATTACTGTTGACTTTTTGCATGTTATTTTAAAGTTCTATTTGAGAAGAAAGAGTTGGAATTGGAGATTGCATTTAAAACATCTAGACAGTGAAGACAGGTGTAATTTAGCTGTTGCTGGCACCAAAATCAAGTACAGTAGATCTCCTACAAATGTCTGAAATGATTCTGAGATCACTAGTTACACACCGGGTGCTCTGCTGAATTGTACCCTTACAAGAGTATTAATATCTGTAATAACAGCTGTAGTAGACAATTTCTAGCTCCACAACTTAACTGTAGAAATTTTCAGTATTTCTTAGTATATTCTCCCAACTTCCAGCTTTGAGATTTCATGAGTCTGAGGCTGTATTACCACACTGAACAGTCATCAGGGGATAACTATGAATTTGCTTATCATTTTTGAATGTACAAATACTGTGGAAATAAGTTGTGAATTTTGACAATTGATTTAATCTGTTAAAAAAGTATTACCTTTCTTGGTTATAAAATTGCCTGATAATTTCATTTGACAATTTACTTTTCATTGTCTGTTCAGCTTTCCCACTCCACCAATTACACAACTGAATTTTCTGTACTTAAATGACTTTTGCCTCTCTGCTTCTCTCTTCCCAAGCTGAAGAATCTTATTCTATTTAACTCTAGTGTCTTTGTCCTTACACAGAGTTAAAAACTACAAAAAGAAAAAAAAAAAAAATCTGTTCTAATGCTCAACTTTCCCTTCACTCCGCAGAGTTCAAGTAATACCTTTTTGAGATGCAGAGGAAGAGAACTAAAAGTGCATACAACACTTGAGGGCACAGTGTACATCTGCAAATGATGCTTTGTCTTGTTTTCTGTTGCTTTTTAAAAGATTGCTAATATTCTATTTCCCTTCTTGCCACAGTTCACAGTTTCAGAAATATGTCTTATGATTACAGTAGATACTGCCTTGGTTGCAATAAATACCAAATTTAGAGCACGCTGCTGTTTGTGCATTCTTAGGATCATTTCCCCTTCCAATTACTTCATTGTTTTTCATCTAGTGACGTACAATTTTGAATAGAGTTTTATCAGCATTACACTACCCATGAGAACTTTCTGCAATGGCTGATGTCCAGAGCTGATTTTTCACTACCCTGAAGAACCTGGTATTGTTGACATATGTCACCTATTTCTCCTCCTCTCCTTTTTCCAGACCATGAAAATGTGAGAGTGCAGGCCCAGGAAAAGAACCCTGGGGAACTCCATTCCCTGCATCACCCTGGTCACCTTTTCAAAAATCATATTTGTAACCCCCAGTTTCTCTGGCAAAAAGGCCAACTTCAGCAGCAGCCCAGAGTTACTCACCAATTTTATGTTTGGCTTCCTTGAAAAATCTTGAGTAAATACCATTTGTGATATGCTAATCCACATTTTATTGGCTTGTTTTTAAAATTCTGCTGGCATTCCACATCAAAATAGTTTCTCAGCAGCCTGCCACAGACTAAGTGTGCTTTCCAGGCGTAAATGCAGGAATCTACTAATGGAATGTAAAGACACCCAACGCAGAGAGGCGACAGAGGAAATTCAAAACGAATGGGTGCTTTGCCAGGGAGTTTGGCAAATCTAGGATTTCATTGGCTTCTCAGAAACCAAAAGCATAATGATGATATGCAACTTCTATGTGTTGAGTCTCTGCTTAGCTTATTAGATCATGCTGTCTTGTAATCTCTTGATACCAAAGGCCACACTGGCAGCTCAGCCTTGTAACTCTGTAGCACATAGTTAGAGATACCCAAGTCAATAGATTTGGCAGAGTCCTTAAACCACAGCTGCAAATCAGTTTCCAGTAAGACAATCCCAGTAAAAGAATTCCTGGGCAAGACTTTGATGCCAAGGGAGTCGACAGGAGTAATGCCAATGCAGTAAAGTCATCTTTAAGTGCAACACATCTTAGATCCTCATATTCTGTAGTTACCCAAAGTATTTTGCAACTCTCTTCAATTAAAGAATCCCCTTCTAAACACCCTCAGTTTTTAAAATAGAGAGATTAACAGCAACAACAAATCTAACACTGCTGTTAGAATAGGCATCAGTATAAAATGCTGAATGGACATAAAATGTTAATCAAAATAGCTTCCTCTAATAATAATGCCAATTAATCTTTAAGTCTATTAAGCACACTCCTGGCCACACTGTTATATAAGGAATAACTACAAAACATGATATTTGCATTAGAAAAGAAAAATAAAAGGTTGCTATGCAATAGCATGAATAATATTTTAAATCTTTGTTCATACTATCCTTAAAATGAGGAGAGAATCAAAGAATGGTTTGGGTTGGAAGGGACTGTAAAGATCATCTATAGTTCAACCCCCCCTGCCATGGGCAGGGACACCTCCCACTAGATCAGGTTGCTCAAAGCCCCATCCAACCTGGTCTTGAACTCATCCAGTGATGGAGCTTATACTGGCCTAAGTTAGGAGTAAACCTGTGTGAGTGGAGATGTGTTAAGGAAACTGGGACCTAGGAACCCAAGTTTTTATGCAAATCCACTCTGTAG